AGGGCTGCGATGAAAGGTGTGTGGGCCACCACTGCTCCAGATAGATAAGGATTTTAATGCCCTGAATTAAGACCATTCAATTAAGAGTAGACGGGGAAAAGGATACTGAATTCCTTATACTTTTAAACCTTCCCTTTAAAGTTTCTATAATGGTGTATTACTTTTTTTCATCAGAAATAGGCAAGTCTTGAGTAATAATAATAATAATAATAATAATAATAATGCCCAGAGACAATCCTCTCAAATCAGGGAAAGTATCCAGGTCTGTAGAGCTTGCCTCCAGTTTGTCCCAGTCTCCTACCTGAGCAGCAGGTCAGCCGCTGGGACAGGGCTCACAGATGTAGAAACTCACCAGCAAGATGCTTTCCCAGGACATCCAGCGGATAGGGAGCACTGCCCGGCCCTGGATCCGGTAGTAGTCACCACTGTACAGGTTTCTGCTCATTCCAAAATCCGCTATCTTGATGGTGTAGTTCTTGCCCACTAAGCAGTTTCGTGTGGCCAGGTCTCGGTGGACAAAGTTAAGGGATGAGAGATATTTCATACCAGAGGCAATCTGGGTAGCCATAAACTTCAGGTTGGCATAACTGAGGGCACACAGAAGAAAGAGAAAGCAGCTGTGCAGGGGTCGTACTCTAATCAACAAACCAGGGTTGAGCCATCTATATTCTGCCCCTGCTCTTAAAAGAATCTGCTTGATTTCCCCACAAAGCAGAGCTGCCCCATCATTCACTACCCACTAATTGACTTCCCATGCTACCCCTATGACAACTGGAACCTTAAGCTTTACCACTCCCCATTTTCAGGCCCAGGAATTACTCTTATGAGCACAGAGAAAAGACAGAAGACCTGATTTGTTTACCTGACTGTGGCATTGCTAGAACAAGAGCTCAGAGGCTCGTGGCGGGAAAGAAACTGATTGAGATCTCCATTTTCCATGTATTCCGTGATCATGCAGAGCGGGTCATCAGTGATACACACAGCTAAGAGACGGATGATGTTTGGGTCCTTGAGCCGAGACATGATCTTTATCTCCTTAAGAAAATCATTCCTTTGGAGGATGCGATTGTAGATAAAGTCAGAGGGTATCAGAGTCAGAACTGAGCAAGGAAGGATGCACAGTGGTGTCCATTCCCACCCATCACACTATGCCTTGCTCCCCTTTGGAAGATCTTTGAAATGACAAACTGGTACCCAGAACTGTCGCATTCAACTCCTCTTTGAACACAATGGACCTTTATTTCATTAATAAAAATGTTTTCAAGGACAAGCTTGATAAGTCACTTTTATATTCCTCATATGTGGCAAAATACCCACTACATAGAAAGTTGTTGATACTACTGACTCAAATACGTGTTGCTTAAAAACTACCTTGCAAATACAGCTCTTCACTAAAAACCAACTCAAGGGCTTTAAGATATTTGACTCTTTCAAAAGCTACAGAATCACACTATTAATGAAATGAAGATACTTTTTGCAAAGTGGATAACCACCCTTTCATTATCTGATCATTTCCTTTTTTCTCCTACTGGCTTTTCCCAGTGCCATCTGCACCAGCAGTCAGCCACAGCATACATTGATTTGGTGGCCTGTTCAAACAGAGTTGTTTGAAAGCTGTGATGGTAGACTCAAATCTTTTCAAAAGTACTCATTTGGCCAAAACTTGTAACCGTTTGACTTCATAGTGACAGCCACACTTGAGTTGTAAATTGTCAACATGGAGCCAATAACCCACATTCCCAAAACTGCAGGGGCAGATCAGTTAGAAGTCTCTGGTGAGTTTTATAGGAAATCTGCACTGAAAGTCAGACTCTGTTAAGATGAATTCTTGGAACCCATGTAGCCCTGATTCGGTGTCTCCTCTCTTATATTCCTATGAATCCCAGACCATGGGTTTTGGTGACTCGTAAGGACCAAGAGTTTAGGCCATCACTACCAACCAAGAGTGAGAACAAGTAGACCCAGCAAATGTCATCAACCCAGAAATACATTGTCCTATTTCATACAATGTCTTTTCCTGCCTGATGCTTTCTTCTACCAATGTGCAAAGACTAATATGAGGAATATCCCTTCTCTCTGCGGGACCCAGAGAGGGTTGCTTTTCATTCATGTTAATATTCTCAAGTCAACACTCTTGGTTAAAATGTGAAAGCCCACACAGTTCCATTTCCTCACCTTTCTCTTCAGTTCATATCCTGCCCATTGTAAGACTTTTAACGAAACCTATCATTGTTTTTGGAATTTATGATAACTTAGGGACTAGAAATAATAAACTTCCTCTTGGGATGAATATCAGTAAAATAAATCACAAGAACACACATGGGAAGATGCATGTGGTATCCAGATGTTCAGGTTTCTCTGGGACACAAACAATTAGTTTTCTACCAGCATGCCTCTCTGGGTGAGGATTAACTCACCACTACTATAACAGAAAGGCTGTCAGAGAACAATGTGGTGGATGGAAACTGAAATTCATGTAGTAATGGATCCCAGAAAAGATTAGCCATTTAGGAAACCTGTTAAAGGACTGTGGATCCTTTTGCTCTGAGGTCCATGGATGCGTTTCCAAGTAGAAGTAGCTTCTCATTGTGAGGGGCTGCTGAACATAGAAGAAAAGGAGCATAAAAGAGACAAACAGGATGAGACTGTAAACAGGGGTGTGAAATAAAAACAGGAGAACACAAAGATGTAGGTAGAAAGGTGTTTGTCATTGTGAAAAGTCAGCTAGAGGAGAGTGACGTTCAAGAGTCTGGGTATCATGAGTGAAGAACACATTTGGGCTGTTGTACGCACTGAGTGAAGGGATTGAGGAAATAACTATATAGTGAATATAATATAAATATATGCATTTGTGTTTGAAAGGGATGGAGAAAAAGATGAGCACTTCCAACCACATTGGAAGTATAAAGTGTAAGAGTGGGCTTGTGAGGACAGCCCACAGACCTCCCAGCTCAGTAGAAGAAAGAAAAATAAAAGCTCAGGAATTTCCAGGAATATTTCTAATCCTCACCATGAAGCAAGCAAAGGAAAATTCAGACCACAGACCTGGCATTCTTGTTGGCATCTGCTCGGAGCATCTTCACAGCCACCAGGACAGGCTGGTTGGCACTGACATCTAGGGCAAAATCTTTGTCTTTGAATTTTTCCATTCCCTCCACTTCACAGAGGTGAACCTAGACAAAAGTCATCTAGTCTCAGCATCATCATTTCTCCTGAAGATGGCTCAGTACTCCTGCTGGGCATGTCCTGGAGATAACTAACTCTTCCAACTCAGGTGAAATAACAAGGGGCCAATACGAGGCTCTGGGTGACATATCTTTGATTCAAGTAATTGGCAAAATTAATAAACAATGCTAATGTGCCCAGCTAATATAACATGTTGATGCATTGAATGGAATATTGATAAAGGATGGAATAGATCTACAATACAGTATTTTATCACAGAATAACTCCTCTAGAAAATATCATTTGGAATAACTGTTGAACTTTGACTTGAGAAAGTTAATCCCTTGGTCATAAAAAAACATAAGGCAGTTTCCTAAGATAATCCATTGGGGTGAGGAAAATGTTGTAAATTATGCCTGTGTTAGTAATAGTATAGTGGGCATAGGATTTCAACCCAGGGAACAGAAGAAGTCCACGTACCACCACAGGTGGATGTCATGGGCCCCTCTGTCTCCTCTAACACCAAATCTACCCAGAGGGAGAATATTTGATCCATACTAAAAGTCAACAACATATTCATTTGAAAAATTATATTTGGGGCTTAGATTACAGGATTAAAGGGATTCCTATTACAGTTGCAACATTGCTCTGAATTCTCTGAAGTCCTATGACTTCTACAAGAGTGAAAAGTTTAATATTCCATGCATCACCCTGAGGTCCACTAGGAAGAGGGCTCCTCCTTATCTTTGTGGTGATTCATTCCCTAGTGGTTAGTTCTGGAATGAAAGGCAGGGCGAGGTTGTTTTTTGGGGTTTTGGTGGGGGGGTTGTTTTGTTTTGTTTTGCCATTTTGACATATAACTCTCATTAAAAGGGAAAAAATGATAGCAAGCAGCAGGGTGTTTCTAGATAATCCATAAAAGATGATGATATCCATGAGCCCTGCCCTTGGTAACCTACCGTAAACAGTTTTTGAAAGCATTGAGTATTTTTCAGGATATCTGAACTCTGGTGACTCACTTGCCTTAAACTCTTCTGTGTAGAAGTCAGATGCCCCAGGTTATCCACAAAAGATGAGGTTGACCACTAACTATCCATCCCAAGAGCGATGCAGACAAACAAGGAGTGGGGACCTTCTGCTGCAAACTCACTTCTAGATAGACCCTTGCACTACTATCATTTTTATCCACCTACTTACTTCACCTCAACAAGGATTGGGGGGGGGGTCTCATTCCACAGATCAACTCACCTCCCCAAACTGGCCTTCTCCCAGTTTCTCCTTGAAAGTCAACAGTTTCCTGGGGAATTCTTCCACAGCCACATCTTTTCCCGAGAGCAGGTCCATGGTGACAGCCGGCACTGAGTAGGTGTTGCCGCCTGTCACTCCCTGGAGGTTCACTATGTCGGCTTCCGCATAGTGGGGCACGCCCTCAGGTCCATTGGGCTGGGCTGGCTTCACAACACCGCTGCAGCCTGAGAAGACACGGGCACTGACTCTGGTCCCCAAGGGCAGCTATGGGGATATCTTCAAGGACTATCTGAGGGGATAGCAAGCATCCGGCCTCATGGCAGCCTAACCCACTTCATAGTCACTGCCCTGGGGCCAGTTGCGCTTCCTCTAAACACCTTTCTTTTGGACTTCAGGATGTAGGCCACCATTTTGCTCCTCACCCTCCTCACAAGCCACCATCATGAACAAGTGCCCTGACTAACCCTGTGGAATTGTGTGGCCAAGCCTTAGGAAGTCTTATGCTGTCCCAGGACGGCAGTCTTGAAGGCTGAAGGTTTAATAGCAAATTTCCTTAATTTCAAAATGCTGACATTAATTGAACAGCACAGGTTAGGGAAGAAAACAACCGTAGATTGAATGTATATGATCTTGTTTAATATGTATGATAATTTTAGAAAATTAAAATATGATTGGTATGGGAGATTTTTTTTTTTTTTTGGCCTTCAGGAAATCAGTTAATTACTTCAGTTCTGTTAAGGAAATGAATTCATACATATTTTTACTCTTGCTGTTTCTAGAGAATTAGATGAATTCAGTGTTTTCTTTCTATGATTCTTTTACCCCATCGGTGATAAAAATGGATGTTAATTTCCCTTCGTCTTTTGGCAAGTTTGTTCCTTGATGAGCCTCAATTCTTCCATTTAGTCCTATGGCCGACTCAGGCCCTCCTCTCCCACACATATGCCCTCTGCTACTAACCTGCTCACTCCTAGGCTGATGACCTCAGAAAGCTGCAGAGAATGCCAGAGCTAATCAAGCATCCCCCCTGACGTCATCCTATAGCACTTTTTAAAGGGGACTGGGATTTGAAGCAACTGGTACTATGTACCTTATTCAATACTTTGATTGAGAAGAGATAAAAAAGATATTTACCACCAAAATAAAATCTTATGCTAGTGGAGTGAATATTTACCAAAAAGAAGTCAACAAAAATTAAATGATTCAATTGTTCAGAGAGCTACCCACTATAGAAGCTATAGAATGCCTTTAGCTTCATTTATCTTTTTTCCTCCAATGTAATTTCCAGTCCAGAATTTACCCCCGTGAAGTCTGGTGTCAAGTGAGTACACCAGCTAGACCTTCTCTCCCATTGTATACAGAATAAGCAGGTTGCCTGGGTGAGACCACCCAGCTTCTTCTGGGAACACCTTAGTGATACTTGGCCATTTTTTTGTGGGTCCCTCTGAACATCTGATGTTAAATCTAAAAGGAAGGGTCTCAGAACAGGCTGGAAGCAGCAGCAACCAAATCTAGAGATGGACTGTAGATTTCTCCAGAGGCCAGCATAGACATAATGGATTTGGTTAACCTGCAGCAAGAGTGTTATACCTACATCATGTGAATCGAAGTTTTTCCCTCTGTCCCCTGCCCATGATTTCATTCTCACCTGACTCCTCCTCCCCTGGAGCAAATTCTGGGAGCTTTCGGATGAGTCTGGATGGCTCCTGGTAGTCAGGACGAAGGGGGAAGATTCGATCATAAGTCGAGTTGGACTCCTGTTCACTTGGTGATGAGGAGCGGTTGTTATTGAACATGCTGGACTCGCTGGGCAGGGAAAGGCTGACTGTCATTTCGTCATCCAGCATCCTCCTGGAAGCCTGAAAGGCATGGATGGAGAGGACTGTCACTCTCTCTCTAATCCAGCCCTCCCTCTCAGTTTATACCTTCAAACCCTTGGGAAAACTGCAGCTGACAAAGACGTAGTCTGGTTCCATAATTTACTGAGTTACAGATACTTAGCAAAGTCCCTTATTTCCTCAAGGCAGAATTTAGCCTTCTAATTCTTGCATTGACAACATTTATCAGGTTTCCCTGGAGCATTTATCAGCATCATTTACACAACTCTATAACAGCCAATCAGTAGCCAAATACTTTCTGTTTTTTAGAGGTGTGTGAGTTCTATTAAATAATGTGTTTTGTCAACTCATCCTTTAACTCTTTGATCTGGGTCATCAAAAACTGAAATGTCCATTGACTCAGGAGTTCTAAAACATGCTAAATCAACAGTGTACCTGATCACCAAGCATTATAGGTTAGAAGAATACACTAGCTTTTACTAACCCCAGACAGAATGGTGAGTTACATCTAATAAGAGAAGACAAAACAACAAGTAACCAGCTCCTACAGCATACTGTCTAATGTAACTGCCTGCCCAATGAACTGTTAGCATCTAACGGATGTCATATTTGAATCTGTATGATGTTGTGGTTGACTTTCTCAAAGAAGTGTTACTGAGGACACCAGCAAAAGTATGGACAAGAAATGTTATGGATTAAAAATATGTGTAGTAATGCTGGTCGAGTGTGTATGTGCACATAAAGTTTTTCCACAAAAAAAATAATTTAGATGCTATTCTAACAAGAAATCCAGAGCGCAATTCCAGGGCACTGTGAGTCGTTGTACAAGGTGATAGAGTAGAAAAAGTAGCTGCAGAAAGAGTTTCTTGAAGGACTTAGTTAAAGATCCAAAGGCAAAAGATGCTGCCCTCTGTGCTGTTGGGAGAGTTGCCAGACTAGCATTCATCCCCAGATAATCAAGACAGCCCTGCAGCTTTCAGAAGAAAGACCCACAGAAATGTGGTAAATTCTAGATCAAATAGAGAGAAAAAATGCAGAGCAGAGAATGTAGATCCTCTTCCTTCTTGCAAGTAAAATGTAGCCCCCCTACTGGACTGCTCACTAAGAGCATATGTTAGTCCTCCACCCCTAACTGAGGAGCTACTGACAGCTGACGGCTTCTCAGGGAGGGAGAGTCAGGTTTCTTGAAGGTTGTGACTTCTGCTAGGTTGACTACCATCCAGGGGATGGTCCCACACTGTGACTACATGCATAGCACAAAATGGACATACAGGTTATAAAGGAGAAGGAGAGGATGGATCAGAAGTTGGAAGGAGTAGGAAGGTGACAAGGAGATCTGGGAGGAGTGGGAATGAATATGATCAAAACACATTGTATGAAACTCCCAAAGAACTAATAAAAATATGTTTTAAAAAGAATATATGATGGGCTATGGTAGCACACGCCTTTAATCCCAGCACTCTGGAGGCAGAGGCACGCAGATCTCTGTGAGTTCAAGGCCAGCCTGGTCTACAAAGTGAGTTCCAGGACATCCATGATGGGTACATAGAGAAACCCTGTCTTGAGAAACTTTAAAAAAAAAAAAAAAAAGAATATATGTTAGCTTCAAGCAGCCTAATGGAACTTGTCAACCAGTTTCTTCCACCACCAACTCCCCTTTGCTACCTTCTAGTTGGGGTTACCCATTTAGAGATGAGTGCATTTCAGCCTTCAGAAAGAGGAAACTGCTTAGTTACATCCCACAGGATCATTCAAACATATCTACACCATTGAGTGAATGCTTTGTGTAGTCTGCCTTTCAACTGCAGATTCTGTTGATGAGTTGAAGGCTTTGTTTTGTGTTTTTTGTCAGATGGTAAGGTCTTTGTGAGATGCAAAGAGATTTTTCTCTCCTATGAAATATTCCTGCCCCTAAACCTTAAACTAAGCCTCAACTAACTTGGGAGCCTAAGTATGGAGCAGAACAGAAAGGACCACAGGTGATTTGCTAGGTTGCTCCTCTCACATCTTAAGTGAGCCCTTTCTTTCCTGTCCTACATACAAAGAGTTCCCGAGATTCAAGACCAGTCTCATGGTGTTCTGCCTCTCTTCCTGTACAAGCCTTGGTCTCTGGGTCTCTGAAGTCTATGTCTTCTTTCTAGCCTCTGCGGAGACTCACAGCCTAGAGATTCTATGACCCATATCCATTGATGGGAGTTCACGGACCAGAAAAGCCGAAGCCAGAAACATTTTGATAGATCCAAAGGTCTATCTTAGCAGCAGTGTCCACTGAGGGGTTATTTTCCTTATTAAAAGCCAAGAAAAATTATAGATTCTCATCTTTGGTTAAGTGTATCAATTTTGAACAATTGAAAAACAAAACAAAACAGAAGATAGAGAGCAGGTCGTCCCCTGAGTATGTATTATCTCATCACAACAAGCTAAATCTAGTCCATCTGATTATTACTCGGTTTCTTATAAAGCAACATGTGTGAGCTGGATGTGGCATTGCATGCCTGTTGTGACACCGGGTGTGTGGGGGGGGGCGGGGTGACAAGAGGATCACCACATGTTCTAGGCCAGCCTGGTCTACAATACGAGGCTAGCCAGGCCTACACAGGGAGACTGTCTCAAAAACAAAACAAAAAATGTATGTGAGAAATAAGCCTTTCTATATGAAAATATTAGATATATGTGACAAAAAATATGCATGTCATTTGAGTCAGCAATTTGAGGAATTCGGCGATGTACAAGCATAACCTTCAAGTACATAAAGAAATAGAATTCAGATAGTGATCAATTACTTGGTTGTTAATGAGGTTAAATGTTTTTACACACACACACACACACACACACACACACACACACACACACACACAGAGTGATGTTTAAGCTTCATTGTCAACTTGATGGACTTTAAGTCACCATGGAAACATAATTTTGCATATGTAAGCAGGTGTTTGGAGAAAGGGCAAGCTGAGCAGGGAAGACCAACCCTGAATGTAGGCAGCGCCTTCACAGACTGGGATCCCAGACGGAATAAAAAGGAGACAGCAAGCTGAGCACCAGCATTCATCTCTGTTTTTGACTTGTGGACACAGTGTAACTGGTGGCTTCCTTCACTGCCATGACTGTCTCCCCTCTTAAATCATGATATAAAATAAAGCAATCCCTATGTTGCTTTTTGTCGTCTATTCGGTCACAGCAACAGGAAAAATAAGTAATCAGACCCAAAAAAACAAAAAGACAAACACACGAAGAAGAGAAAGGTCTTTAGAACCGTCGTCAGAAAGTTTAGCAGGACGGAGAGTGATCCCTAACCTCGGCTGTCCATCAGAATCGTTGCCAAACTGAAAATACACGCACAGGTGCCTTTACCCTACCTCAAACCCAGCAAACCAGATTCTTCATGGGAAATGCCCAAGTTGAGATTTAATGTATTAGGAAGAGTTTCCTGGGGTTCCTAGGCAGATTCTAAATTCTTCATTCTGAAAATGAGAAACTAGGCTTAGCTAATTATTTTTCCGGCTCACTTCAACAACCGTTTCCATGCCTATGCTTCTCGGTAGCCTCAGGCAACTCATTAGCCTCTTAAAGCTTTTTGGACTCTGGCACTTTTGGCGTCATGGCGGTGTAGGAAAGGGAGGCACGGCTTCCTGGCCATTCTGCACATCCTCACCTTTTCTAGCATCTTCTGCCAGAACTGCCTCCACAGGATGATGACGATGATAGCCAGCAGGATGAAGATGATGGCAACCAAGCAGCCAATCAGGATCCGAGTGTTGCTATCATCAACCTTAAGCATGGGATCTGTGACCAAGAAGAGAAAGCAAAGAAAAGAGTCATTTTCCACAGGGCAAATTAAAAGCAGCCAGGACAGGAGCAGAGCATGGAGACGGACCCTGTTCCTTCAGGAGAATTCCAGAAGGTGTCACCCTCACATTTCTGCTTTTGGCCTATCTCGCTTTATTACTTGGCTCCTATTTTCCATAGACCTCCACCATGGGTCACCACCTCCCTCCCTCTCTCCATGTCTCAAACAAGGTAGTGAAGAGATTTGCATTCCCACAGTTTTGCCTCTCTATTGCAACAGTCTGTATGTACAGGCTCTTAATACTCATGACAAATAGGTAAGGAATGAGTTCGTTCCACTCCCTCCATTCTTTGAGACAGGCAGGGGTAGCTGAGACTCCTTTCAAGAGATACCCAATCACTTGTTTCCAGATTGCTGGCTATGAGAGCCAGTGACTTCCTCAAACAAAGAATGCACCTTTGCATACTCATCTCCAGAGAGATGGAAAAGCAGTTTGTTTCATGAACCCCTCATTCATTGAGATCCCTACTATGGGTCTCATGTAGAAATGCCCCCTTGTTTTTTTTTTTTTTCCCACGCTTCTTAAACTTTCATGCAGCAGTTGGAACACTCTAGATTCTGCCCTTCTCAGCTGAAGAAACTCCTGAATGGTCACAAATGAGAGTAACTTTGGATCCTTCACTTTGGAGGTAGACTGTTCTTCCTTTAGCACACTAATCTTCATCCAGAGCCACATGGAATCAAGCCACTCACACACAAGGAGGTCTTTGCAATTTCTACCCTCTTTATCTTCCAGAAGGTGTCTTTCACTTAATATTTTACAATTAATAATCACACATACCATAGGTTGTGGGTGCCATAGGAGAGGTGGGCAGGGCTCCAGAGTTGTTATACATCGCAGCATCTGTTACAGAACAAGAGTGAATTAGAGCTTGGAGCGGACAGTCAGGCAGGCAGTGGCTCATTTGAAGGTATTCTGAGACCTAGCACACTGTAAAATCAATATAGTGGATTACCGATAGCGTTTTTTTTTTTTAAATAAAAATACCCTGGGTTATTATACATGTATTAGCTCATCACACTGTAGCCCATAAACTCAAAAAATATCATGTCAAATAGAAACAAAATAAAAATGAAGCCATAAATAAAGTCAATAAAATATAACTATCTGTACAAGTAAAGGTAACTTCTCTGGTACAAAAAAAATGTTGCAAATATTATATATTGTCAAAGTATTAAAAAGTTAACACATGCTGTTTCAGAGGGCTGTGGTCATAGATTATCATAAAATATGCATGGAGAGAAGGATCTAAATTCAACAATATGCAGAGAGAATTCAGTAGCTACATGGGCAAGGAATAGACCTAGTACAAAGACACCCATTTCTTCAATGAATTTAAGTTACTTTCTAAAGGGATTTTCACTGTGCTTCATTGCCCTACCTCTTAAGGCTTCATTCATCCCTAAAGATAGAAAACTGGCTTTGAAGTATCCTTTACAGTGATGCTGCAGTTTTCAAAAACATATCCCAAAGTGTGTTTTCCAGATTGAGGTTGGCAACTAATTTTTACCTCTGATTGGTCAAGAATTAAAGTTTGAATTTCTCTTCTACAAGTTATTCCTTTAACAAATCCTAATTTTTCTTCTTACCATTATTAAACAAATAAAGAGCTTCTGGTGTCAACTATACTTGTTAAATTAGATCCTTAAGAATCTAGAAAAACTAAGATTATCAAGACATAGAAGCTCAAGAGACTCCCAGGAATCAAAAGCATAGTCCAAGCTTTGATTGGCCAAAATAAGAAAAATATACCAACTGCTCTGCCCCAAATACCCAAGGATAGGTAGACATCTGTGTGCTTACCCAGATTACCCAAGTCCAGTGGGTGTCTATTTGTTCCCCGCCCCGATTATTATTACAATATAATCACCACTTCTTATGAGCATATAAATTTCTGCTCTGAATAAATTATCTGAAATAATTAGTCTATTGGCTTTTGTTTGTTTGTTTGTTTTCAAGGCAGGGTTTCTCTGTGTAGCTTTGCGCCTTTCCTGGAACTCACTTGGTAGCCCAGGCTGGCCTCGAACTCACAGAGATCCGCCTGGCTCTGCCTCCCGAGTGCTGGGATTAAAGGCGTGCGCCACCACCGCCTGGCTCATCTATTGGCTTTTAAATTGCACCATTGGCATAAACAAAATGTAGGCACCAAACCTGTTTTCTAAATATATACACACACTCTTCTCCTAATAGCCTAATGAACCATCTTGAAAATTTCTTTTTTCCAGAAAAATCAACCAGAAAGGATATTACCTTCTAAAGCATAGCTAAGTCACTCTCTCCTTCTCTAGCATCTTACTTTATGCCTTTGCTTGTCTTCTGGGCCTGATGTGATTCTCACACTTTAGCACTATTCATGACAAGTCCATGGTTTTGTGCCCCTCTCTTCCTGATTGCTTATACTTGGTTTTGGATTACTTCTGAAAAACCATTGTATAGATTTCTGTTTTCCAAACTAAAACTGAATGACAAGATCACAAATTCCTTTTAACTTTTTAAGGTTTAGTATAGTTAGGGTTTCTATGAACTCTACTATTTGCTCGAAGATATATAGTCATTTTTAGAATTTACTGGTAAATGTCATGAGTTGTTATAATGACATTATACTCAAGAAAATATTTTCTTAGATGTATTCTAAAATGCTAGTAATAAACCAAAATATGTTTCAGATTTTCTTTCATATATTACAGCAAAAAAAAGAATAAATAAAGATGGCAAAAGACTAGTAATAAAGGTGAGTGATAGAAGGAAATCCATTGTTCTCTTTACTTTTGTACATAATGGTTAGAGATTTTCATTTGAATACTTTTAGTGCTTAGATGCTTTCCATCAATAGTCTTAATTTGTATAGCTTTTGGCACATTGTATTATACTCATTTTGAAAATCTTTTGCCATAAACCTCTTCTAGACAAATGTTGTAAAAAGAGTGTAATTAAGCTTGTACCGCCCCACTATCGTTCTTTATAATTACATAAATTAAAACTAGAAACACAAAGGATTCTCTCTTTCCAAAGACTGTGAGGCACCTGGTAACCCCACTCCTCTCAGAGACCTACCAGGAAGCAGCCTGCATGTCCTTCCCACCCCCTGCACCAACCCACTCTCTTCCCTGTGGGGACCAAGGTTTCCTACCTGATTGGAAAGTGATCTCACTGAACATCATCCATGTGTCGGCAAAATGGTACTGGCATTTGATGGCACTAGCCATTCGGTGGTGGAGGGGCACTGTGACAAACCGAGCACTGGGGTTCACATCATCCAGGACGAGGGGAAAGGAGACGGCAGTGGGTTCCCACTCACTGGCTTCAGAGCGGAAGTAGCACTGGACCTCCTTAAAGATCTTCACACCTTTAGCAAACATATTGTTGCAGTGGACCTGGCAGAAAGAAGGGCATGTGAGAGACAGGCTATCCCTGCTGGGTTGCACAGGAAAACAGCCCAACTAGCCCAGGAAACCTCTAGACCTGCCTATTTCTCTGCATACTACCCATAATTCAGTCTTCTGGATAGTAGCAATGATACCCAGGTCATTCCATATAAAACCTTTGATGCTGACCCCATTTCCAACTGTGTGCTCTGGCCACCTGGCTCCATGGTGCCAGGCTGCAGTGTCCTCTCCTGATAAGGGAGGACTAGATCAGCATCTTCCTAGGTCTGTCCTCCATAGGAATTCTCTTGGCTCTACAGTCTTCTCAATCACACTTGCTATCTGCCCACATTTGAGCTATTCTGATCTTAGATGGTGAGCCAACCTGACATCCAACTTCCTCCCAGATACCTTCCAAACAAAGCCAGACCATTTCTTTTCAGGAAGGCCCTGTGGGAAACTTGAAAGAAAATCACATACAAACAAATACAGTTTCATCTTTCTTTATGGAAATCTTACTTTGAATGCCATGGGTTGGCATTTCCAGCCAGAAACACAGACTTAAGCAAATTCAGTTTAAGTAAAACCATTCAGATGGGAGCATCAAATTTTTCTCACTGATAATTTCTGAGATGAGACTAAAAGTCAATTAGAAGGTAGCTGACATCCACTCTCCCAACCCATGATTCTTTCTGTGGGATATTTGTTTGGCTTGTGAAGTCATCAAGAGCAAAAATTCCACAACAGTCCTTCAACAACCCACAAGAAAAAAAAGGTAATGTGTATATTTGCAACTGACTCAGGTTCCTTACAGCAATTCGGTTCCATCTCCTCTGACTCAGTCTTTCATGGAAAACAGATCTTTGCTGGCCATTGTCCCTCAAGAGTTTCAAGGGTTGGAAAGATAAGACTGCCATTCCTGGACTCTATTTCCTGTTTCTGTTTTAATGTCTGCTCAGGCTCTGAGTTATACTGTCTAACTTCTTTAATTCTTTCTGGATAGTCAATAAAGGACTAGCAGGTGGAATTCATTTTTAGATAAAGAAGGAAATGATGAAAGAAACGTAATGACAAATGGCTGGACCAGAGGTATCCCAAGGTTAGACCATGAGAGCTACTAGAAGGTGTAAAGCCTCCTAGCCCGAGTATGTGCACTGACAAGATGCACATACTCACATGGATTTCTGACCTATGGTCAGTCTACAACACAGCTGGATAAAGAGCCCTAGACATCTAACCCAAGGCCCTTTGTACACCATATCACATAGAAATATAGCAGTCACCTTAACTTTCCATTTGGATTTTTTTCTCCACAGGTTTTATTGATGAACACATGTGTTAATATCTTCCTTGAGTGAAGTAACCATTCTAGTTTATTGACCCCCCAAGTCGATGGAGTAAGACTAAGGGCAAAAAAATTAATCAAAGAAATACCTTCTCCAGCTTCAATAGGTTTTTCAGATGTCCTGAAATCTGCAAAGTGTTGGGTAAGTACCCTGCAGGGAAGGTAATAATCTTTCCTACAGATGTTTCAAGAATTCTTCTGGAATGCAAATAAATAGCATAGGATTTCATTCCATGTGGGCTTACATATTTATTTATTGAAACAATATTCTTTGAATGCATAAATAAGATTTAATGGTATATTTTAACTATTCTTCAAAGCAAGAAATGAAAAATAATTTGCCTCAGAAAGAAACCTGATCTATAAAAGGTATTAGTGCCCTGGAAGTCATCTTTTACTTTCTTTGTCCAGAAAAATTAAAACATGTGGAGGATCTGTTTGCCTAAGAAGACTGTCCTGAAGCTACTCCTTAGAAATTTCTGGCTTCTTAATTTAAGCTCTGGAATCATTTTTATCTGTGATAAACTAACTGAAAAGAATCCTGGAAATTTAGGAAGATCAAAATATCCTGATAAAATATTATAACCTCATGGATAATTTAAAATTCATTTAATTATTTGTTAAACTACAAATCCTCCCTGGAGTATATAGACTTGTGAGTTTATGTGTATGTTCACAAGTACATTAAAGACAAATACAAAAGAAGATCTCTTACATCACATTTTCGTTGCTATGCATATTCCCTTCTTTTGCCCCTCCCTACTTCCCATCTACAAAAATCTCTGAAGAATAATGTGTTACATGTAATTGCACACAATGTTTTACAATTATGAAAGATCCTCCAACAACAAGCCAACAGTGGGCATGTGTTGTTTCTTCTCCTCATCTTAAATGTTTTGTTCATTTAATGAATAACTGTTAATCCAGTTAAGAGATATCATCCATTAACATCTGGGAGTAATAGAGAAGACATGTATTTTCAAACCTAGTTTATATAAGGAAAAACAAATTTGCATTAAGAGGAACCCTGAATGATGACTGAGGATGCATATTTCCTTTTTCAGGTCCCATATTATCCTGCATACATTCTTTTGCAAGTTAATATTGCCTTTCCTGCTAACCTTGGCATCAATGTGTCCCAAGATAGAGAATATTCTTTACTCAGAATCTAGCATACTATGCTTCCAAATATAGTTGTGAAACCAACAGCAAGCACAGATGAACAGATGAATTTTAATTATATAAGATAATTAATATATTTTTCACTGAGCTCCAGAAACAGATATAGACTGAAGACTGAGTATGGAGTAAGGGTTACCAAGTTTGCTGACTATCAATACTATGCACATGAATATTAACATGGAAAAAGATCAGATAAGTGAATATTCAGGTGGTAGGCCAAATTTATTTGCCCACCTTTTCCTGGGGCTTTTAGTGAGACTTTCTTTTGCACTTTCATAAACAATTAAGAGTTATGCACAAACCATGTAAGACCCTGCAGTCTCATCTTACACTAAACACAAGGTCTTGCCTCCACACCCCTGGGTCCTACTTTTCCCTAACCTTAGAATTCAGATTTAACATCCGGTCTGGTTGTTTTTTGCATGAACTTTCCTTCTTTTCCATTCCCCTTTCCCTAAAACAGACCTGGAATGGGGGAACGAGGGAAAAGGAGGATAATGATTTAAAGTACACACCAAGAAATTCTTTATGTTACAACAAAGACATTATCAATGTCAGCATCGAGATTTGGCTCCCTGGTGGGGTTTTACTTCAGAGAAAGTGAAATCCAGGCCTTACGTTTCCTTCTGCGGATCTCTTCGTGTATTCGTATTTGCTATGGTCCATTCCATGACAGCCTCTAGGGCAGCCTTTTCCAAGCCTTTGGCTTCCATCCAACTACTCAACAATAGTCACCACTTTCCACTTAACTCTTCTGTAATAAGGCGCTGATGAAAAAACTGTTAAGCTTAATTGGATGGCAATGTTTGGTATCAGGAAGGGAGGAAGGGAGAAAAGGAGCGAGTAAATAAATAATAATGGGCCTGACCTAACCTATCACAGAACTAAGAAATGAGGAAACAGCTTTTAAAAATAAATGGGACTTGGCCACTCAGGACAGGCAGGTGAAAGACACCCACAGGCCAGCCTGGGTCCTCGCAGTCCTGGCTGGCTGAAGACCTCTACATGCCCACCTGGTGGCACAAGGCATAGAGCAGGTGGGTGCTATTATGATGAGCAAATACATGGTGGAGAAATAGAAAGAGAAGCAGAATGGTTCCTGTGCTGTGGAAAGAGGCAGAACTGGAGAGGCAAAGATGAATGAGGAGCAGACCGATGTGGGTGGCCTGCTTGCCACCTGGGGTCAGGGTGATGTCCAGCCAGGGCTTCTGCCAAAGGCCATGTTGGGTTCTACGGTCCTACCATGATGGCTGGGGTCTGTATTGTCATCCATGACCCATGTTGCCAACAAAGGCCACAAGGATGCTTGGTCTGGGCCACCGTCTGTGGCCATGTTGGTGTCCAAGGGTTGTGCGGCTGCCGGGGCAATGCCAATCCAAGTGACCTGCACTGCCACCTGGGGCCATGGTGTCATCTGGGCCCAGGCTGCTGCCCAGGGCAATGTCTGGGTTGGTGGTCCTGTTGTGGCTGGGGTCTGGTTGATACCCACGGTGGAGTGGGTGTTACCAAAGGGTGCCATAGGAACCATGCGTGTTGAAATCTGAGGGCCGTGCTGAACCGGCCCCGCCCTTCACTGGCCCTGGGATAGCTGGCCCTACACCTCTCTGAACATTGCAGCAGGAGAGCTGGCTCCACTCCTCATGGAAGAGCTGCCCCCAAAACAAATACTCAAGAGGGATGGTCCTACCCTCCCCATGGGTGTGGGAGAACTGAGTCCACCCCTCACCTCAGGGGGGTGGCTGTCCAAGTGGTCTAGACTGACCAGCTCAGCTACCACCCACGGCCTGTTAGCCCACTCTAACATTTAGCCCATCTATGACCTAATGGAACATGTGACCTGCAGAACAATAGCTGCAGGATCTCCATGACTGGGGACAACAGCAGGATGTCTAAGGAGTTTTGGTGAGGGTCCAGTGGTGATAGTGTGCCAGAGGACTAGAGACCTTGAACCTGACCAGTGACTCATTGTAGTGAACATTGGCAAGAGGGGCAGATTGGACCAAAGGGTACACTGTGTGACACACTGCACTTCCAACACCACTGGGACAGATGAAGAAGTGCTGGAGAGGCAGGAAGGACAAAGGAATGAGGTGGGGTTTATTTTGTTTGTTTTGTTTTTAATCAATTTGGGGGTTTCTCTTGAGGGGATGCTGCAGGTGCATGCTGTGAAATTCCCAAAGAATCAATAAAGAACTATGTTATTAAAAAAAAATAATGTGACTCTGAATTCGTAATTGTAATAGTGGAATATATTTTAAAATCTAGTTCTGTTGACATCAGTTCAAGACCCATCAAACATCCCCTTCCTCCCCCCACCCCACGCAGCCACTATAATTTTGGATTTCTTTAAGAAAATCTATCACACCTAACTCCACTGACCTTCATAGTGGTGAAATTCCTGATGCGGTCAAATTCAAACATGATCTCGATGTAGCCATTGGTAGCGCTCTCATTCCGCCAACCCACGTAGTCATAGCCGGGCCACACATGGTATTCATGGGTCTGGGTAAAATCATCCAGGCCAGATACCCCATCGGTCAACTGGCCTAGTCCTTCAGTCATGCTGCCGTGGAGGAGTCAGGCCAAGGGAGGGGGAGACAAGAGAGGAGCCTGGAGTTATTCTCACATCCACAGAAGAAGTTTTCACCCCACTGCTTCACCCCCTGGGTTTTGCAAGAGATGATAATCTTAGAGATGGAGGGATTAGGAGAAAGCAATCATTTTATACCAGTGACTTCTTTCTCTGAATCGTGTAGTCCAAGAAGGGTTGGCAACGCTTCAGACAAGCATTAGTCACTGGTGGGGCAAATGCTATTCGTTGTGGTCTTCGTGCTGTTCGTTAATTCTCTCATTGATGAATTAATTTAAATGCCTTGGATATTAGTGAGCCATCAAGACACCATATTCAGCTGATGAGCATAGGCAAGGACACAATGGTAACAGAAGTTTTTTCATATAAATTAATAAGCCAGCTGGAAGCTGAGAGTGAGAGTTTAGTCTCCACATCTAAGCTAGTAGAAGGGCAGTCATCCTACAATATGCTTCCTGAGTCTCACGAGCATTTCTCTTTCTTAATCCCTAGAAAGTTCTATTGTCTGCTCTGAACCTCGCAATATTTGGACCTCTTTCCCATGCTCAGTCCTTGCAGATAAAGACTGAACTGAGTATGGAAACGCTCATCTGCCTTTCTGTTAATTTTACTGAAAACCTGTAACTTCTCTTTCATAAAAAGGCATAAGCATACAATGAGGATATGGTACTGGAAATGTTCATAGCTGTTTGAAACACCTATGTCATAGAAACTGCCAGGACATGAAAGTACTTTGAATAAAATAAGGAATTTATAATAAAAAAAAAAAAAAGACTGAACTGAGAAAAAAAAAGGTGTTAAAACTGGGCCAGAAGAAGAATTAATGATTGGAATGGGTAGGTACATGTCTTACCCAATTCTAAACCCCAATGTGTCTCATAATATTTTTCTACCACACTTCTCCATCCATCTGCTTCAGGCCTCTCTGCTGCTCCCAGCTTCATCTATTGCCATAAACAGAGCAATATTGTCCTCTGCTGTTTCCTCCGCACCCTTCTACCCACCTTTCCCTACTTCCGTTACCAGCTTATCCTGAAAGCTTTTCTTATGTATTGTAAACCCTAAAAGCTTTCCTTTTCACAGCTTCTAAAGTACCGCGTTTATGGAGTCCATTGTTTCTTAACTCTGTGACTCGACCGATTTTTATACTTATTACTCTGTCTCCATAACTAAGTTAGCTGTAATGTTGGAACAAAGATCCTCATTTCAGGGTCAAAAATATAACTCCCACACTTACAGCCATATCACAAAATTTAGCTCTTGCTTTGTATAGTTTCTTCCTGTCTACTGAATTATTATTATGTCTTCCAAAAGTAAGCTACAAATTGGAGATAAGTACCACATGGTTTGCCCCATCTAAGTTATCTCACAGCATATCACTCATGAGCACAATACTGGTGGGTTGACTGATTCGTTGATTCGTGATCATATCATGATAATTTTTTTGTTATGGCCATTTCCCCATTTTGGTGACTACTTAAATCTCCCAGACTTTACCTGTATCCAACAGCTCCATCATAGACAGAATCATTCAGATAAATGATGGAGCCTCCAGGGAGTACAAACTGCTGTCCAGCTGGAGCATTGTAAGACACCAAGCCATCTGCCAAAGGAAATAGAGTGGTCAGTGTCTCTGGTAAGGATATGTGCCTGCTGCCTGATCAAATACAGGCAAGAAGCTACTTGAGCTTCGGCGGGTGTACAACTTATGCATCATGTTCGGTGGGGCTCTATTTGGGCTCATAGTTGAGCACTGTTGGGAGCACACCCAATGACAGTTACCTGAGTGACTCTGAATGTGTCCTTCCAGGCACAGGGCAGCAAACCCTGGGTGGATGAGCGTGGCTTATTTTTCTCTTTTAAACAAAGAGGAATCATTTCATCCCAAGGGTGAATGACTTCATCCCTTTCTGAGTTGATGGCCAGTGTTCAGTTCCCAGGCCTTGGAAGTTTCCATATGGTGCATAAGATCTCTGTGGTAGAGACTTACCTAGCCAGACACAACCATAAAGCTCAACCCTCATGCACACGTTCATGGAGTGGTCAGTGACTGGGATAAGGCGAACAAATCTGGCTACAATGGGTGGCTCCAAGTCCTTCAGGAAAACATCATAAGGGTTACTGTTCCCATCTAGCACCTAGGAGAGAAAAGAAAAAGAGCAGAGATAGTATAAAATCATGCTCACCTTTCTTCACTTATCATGCATTTGATGGAAACTTTGCTTTTCATTCATGAGCAGAGTACATTCACTAAACTCTCCCAGCAGAGCTAGTAGATCCTCTGTGCCATCTCCTGAACCTCAGGTCACATTTGCAATGGCATGTCAGGTTTGAACATACACGTAACTGAATATAGTCCATTTGAGCAGTTCTATTATGTCAATATATGGTCCTAGGTTCCCCCAGAACATGGACATTTTCTTCTTACCTGCTTCCCATGCCGATTACGCCAGGAGATCCAGCGAGTGCCATCTCGACTGTAGTTGATCTTGTACATGGGTGCAAATTCAATGCCATGACCCCCTGCATGGCGTCCCTGGGTCCCCACAAGAGTGATAAAGTGGAGGGTACGTAGGTCAATCTGCAGAAATTCTTTCAGATCATCGGGTCGCACTGGAATCTCAGGGCACCAGGCTCCATCTCCTTCTTCAGAGTCAAGCCTTGAGAAAGAAGGGCAGGGGAAATAGAGAATAACTGAAACAAGAGCCACTCACCGCCATAGTGAGCAGCTGTCCTGCGCCTAAGGAGACAGCAGAAAGCAGCAGCTTAGTCTGCAGGGACATTTTGGACCTCCCTGTGTCTGATTTTTCTAACCATTCCCATTTGTGGTCAATTGCCTGTCTCTGAAGCACCAGGAAACATCATCCCAAGGGAGCTGGGGGCTTCCAACACACATATAACCTTTAGGTTTCAGAGAACTCTAGGGAAATTAAACTCTTTCCACTGCTGTTTCTTTATGAAGCTCTTTCACCATCCATTTCTCAGTCTCAACCCCCAAAGCTGGCCATTCGTGGTTTGGGTATCAAGTTATGGCAGGGAGGAGGGAGGAATGGTAGGGTCTCCAGTGTGGGCCATGCAATGCAGCGGGATGCTAGCCAGCAGGATGGGCATGGCCACCCAGCCATGAGAACTGTGCCGAAGGTAAGGGTGAGGGTGGAAAGCATGTGAGTGGAGCGGCCAATATCCTAGTTTCATTTATTACCCCAGGCTGGGCTAGCACTGAACAGCATTGCAAAATCATTCTAAGGTTTATCTGGGAACCTCCGGTGTTTTCCCTCTTTGTTGGAATGCTTCCTTTCCCCACTCATTTCTTGCTTCTCCCTAACTCCACCAGCCACCCCTCTAGTCACTCAAACCCTAAGATAAATATGATGAGGAAGGCCTACTGGGGTTGATTTCCTTATGGGTGATTCCATTTTAATGAAATTGATACTAAATTTACACCAAAATAATTAGGTTCTAGCAGGAAGAGTAGACATCAGTCAGCAGAATAATTTCTGAGTTGGGAGTCTGTCCATTTAAGGGACCTTGGCAATTACCTCCACCACATAGAATTTGCTCTGTTTATGGATGAGGATGGCCCTTCTGTGTGAGGTTTCCTTGAGGGAGGAAAGAACTTACTGGAAACCTCAGCATCTGGTTTAACCATAGAAGCCCTGCACAGTTCCATTCCCGGTACCTCTTGAAAAGCAAGCTTCACTCACTGCCAGCATCCTACATAACCTACACCTTCCCGTACCTTCAGCCTTGGCCTTCCTCCTGCAGCAGCCCACAGTGAGGTCAGGAAAAGCAAATCCACTGTCTATCAATGACCCTATTCACAGTGGGTGGTGTGGCTCTGAGGCCTCTGTGGTTGGGAAGAGGTTTCCAGGCCAGTAACTACAGCCAAGGCCTGGCCTCCCTCTGAAACATTCCAAGCAGCACAAGCCCCTCACATCTCTCTTCAAGTCTCACGAGCACTCACCAACTCCATCCCTTCCCCCCAGCACTGGAGTCATGGCTGTGTGTCCATTTCTCCCAGCACGCGGGCCCCCCCTGCTGCAGCCATCCTTACCTCCCATATCTGGCAGCCGTGGATTCTGACCACTGGCTCGAAGCTGTGATGTCCTCATCTGGAATGTGGCCTCCTGACATCCCCAGAGGATAGCGACATATGGCTGGACGAAGGAAACAAAGAGAAGACAGAGAATGTGCTTTCATTTTTAGGCCAGCACCCCCAGGAAGGTTGAAACTAGTAACAGGACAGAAAATAGAAGAACTGAAATCTCCCTGTGTCTCTCGATGACCCCAGTTCAGCCACTCTATGTTACAGAACCTCTTCCCAACCCTAATTCAAATACCTTTTAGACCTCCAAGAGTTAACCAACAGCCAGACTCTGACAACCAGCATACTATAATTTAATGTGCCAATTTCTTATTTTATTGAATAGTAGCCCAGTAGCCCATCTTCAGTTCCTTACTAGCAGATTTGCATATTGAATCGATTTCCCACAAGTAGTAGTATCCTTGTGGCCACCCTACGCTCCATAGCACTCTGGTTTTCTGGGGAGCTGGTTGTATGAGATTATGAAACAAACCAATCAACTGCCCTGTGTTAGCATTGAGCAAGTTGGGCCCTGGCTAAACACAGGACTTTCAGGGGTGGGCTTCCCTTTCAACAAACAGAGACTAAAATAGAACATAGGAAATTCCCTGTGGGAAACACCCAGCTGCCAAACAATGAGCACCAGACCAGAGGACCACCATTTCTGAGAGTTAAGAAACAAGGAAGGGCCCCTCACATGTTACTGTCCTAACAACGCCCAGTTACGGCAGGGGAGTGAGGACTCCAGCAGGATCGTGGGAACTTCCTGACTTACAAAGACAAAACAAGTACAGTTTGAATACTTTGAAGCCGCCGTGTTCTGTGCAATAAAACAAGACGAGCAGGGGAAAGGAATCATTACAAGGAGGGAAGAGATAGGACTGATTTTCAACAGTATTTTTCCCAGACATAATTTTTTTTAATCATAAGACTCATATGAAGCCACAAATGGCCTCGCCAAAACTAGAGCATCCTTACAAAAGAAGAACACACCTGGAGATATTAGGAGTCTAGACTTCAAAATATATCACAAATCTATAATAATTAAAACCATCCAGTGCTTTAAAAAAATAATATATATGTGTAGATCAATGAGTCAGAATGGGGAGCCCAGAAATAATCTCACACATATAAGGTCAACTGGTCTTCAACATAAGTACCCCAAAAAAAGCATGGGGAAGGGGGAGAATAGTCTTGTCCACTAATATGTAGGGAAATGTGGACATCCACATGCCCAAGAGTGAAATTGGACCCTTCTGTTATACATTTAAAAAAATACGCATAGGGGTTTGTCAGACTGGCTTACAGGATCAGAGGCAGAATGGTTCCTCAATGGCCATCTGCAGGCAGCAGAGAGAAGCGAGCTAGGGGCCCGCTCAGTCTAAGTCTGAGAACATTAAAGTCTTGGAAGAAGAAGGCAGCGATGCGGCTCCCATCTAAGGCTGAAGGCCTGGAAGCCCCTTGTGTGCAAAGCCCGAAGAACTTCAAGTCTGCTTCCAACACCTGACAGCAAAGGCCACTTGCCCAGGAAAGGCCAAGTCAACCTGAGAGCAAGAACCAGTTCCACCTCTGCCTCTTCTGTTCCATCTGGCCCTCAGCCTGTGGCATGGTGCTACCTACATCTGAAGATCTTGGATCTTAACTCTAGTGTATCTGAAGCTCAACCCGAGACCTGCATGTTGGTAAAGATCCAGAGTTAGTCTGTTGTGGGTTTGGGCTCAGAGTTCTGCTCCCAGATCCCATCCATCCTGGACAGAGAACAAGGCTACGGGGTTTTGCTGGCAGTCACAGACTAGAATATCACAGTCAGTAGGCTTTCAGTCCCATCCATCACACATCTCCAGATGCCGGGCTGTCCACATAATGAGAACCTCTGCACTCTGGGACATGTGAGGTAAGCCAGACACTGGGAAAGAAGAGCCAACAAGGTGAGTCATGATGTTATCATAAATAACGTCCCACTGAGGGGCCTGCTAGTCCTTGGGACAATAACCAAGACATTTTAAGCTGCCATTGCCTCTACAACACAACTCAGTAGGACTGTATTACCTGGGAATCCTTTTTTATGTCATATCCTGATTGACTCCATGCAAGAGTTTTTCCCTATTGAACAGATAAAGAAAATGAAGTAAAAGAGATTTGAAGTATGCCTGACAGCAGACAGAGGGGAGAGACAGAGACCACATAGGATTCTCTGCTGTGAGGTGCCAGAGGACTGCTGAGTTCTTCCCAGGCTTAAAGACAAAGCCAGCCAAGGGGAACCTTGAGTCACGGTGTGCCTGCCTGCTGACACCACACAGAGAAGGCTCCCCTATAAGTCTGATCATCGCTTGCTTTATGGCAGCCTATCTATCCGTGTACTGAATTAACAAACGTGCTTATTAACGAGTGTTCTTGTATTTACACAGCTGGTCAGTAGTGGGTAAGACACAGAAAATGATTTCTCTCATAGACCTCCATTCTGGTCCAGGGGACAAAGGTAAGATGATAGTTTTCTGAAATCAAAGAGCTACAAGTTGCTTGCCTGCTTGACAGTTGCTATTACTGTTTCACTGAGGCTGACAAAGCTAGCAAAAATACTAAAATACGTGTCGGGATGTAAAAGTAACAGAGATTTCTTTTTTCTATGACACTTGCACCTCTTGATCCCCTATGAGACTGCAGGCCATTTTGAGCATAGTGATCATGGTGGATTCCTTGCCCCTTTCAACACCTGCCAACACACAGCTCTGATTAAGTGTTCAACGCACATTGGGCAAACAGGTAAGAATGAAAAGGTAGCGATACGGATAGATGGATGGAAGGATGAATGCCCGGACAGAAGGATGGAGACAACGACCTGCACATTAGATCTTGGCATGCAGAAGAGGATTAATCTCCCAGGTGAGTCACCATCTGTGGGGTCCAACAAGTTTTTGTGAAGCAGAAGCTTGCCCAGCTGCCTCTCAGCAGGCAGGGTCAAAGTTCATCATCAGAGGCAGGTGCATTATGGGTAGGAGAGGAAGAAAAGCCACAGCACAGGTCTTAGTCAGTGCTACTTGGTAACTAGTCACCAAGATCCGCTGAGGAAGATTTTCTGGAATTTGGTTTAATGAGGCTCCAGTGACAGACCTAAGGGATGCAGGAATCTTGTTCTATGCCACAATGTGGACCTCAGATCAATGCCAGAGTAAGTGCTGGGCCCCAAGTGTCACAATAGACTCCCATTTATTAGAGCATGATATTGGCTGGGAGGTGGTGGCATACGCCTTTAATCCCAGCACTCAGAAGGCAGAGCCAGGCAGATCTCTGTGAGTTTGAGGCCAGCCTGGTCTACAAAGCGAGTTCCAGGAAAGGCGCAAAGCTACACAGAGAAACCCTGTCTCGAAAAGAACAAACAAACAAAAAAATAGAGCATGATATTTTCCAATGGATGACAGAAAGAGCTGAAAATACTATAATACTGTTATGTGTGTGCATACCTATAATAAAGTTTAACTTAGAAATTAAGCATAGTAAGAGATAAATAATAATTAATAATAAAATAGAACAATTATGATATTCCATGGTAAAAGTTATGTTTATTTTGTTTATGTGTACGTGTCAGCATGCACACATGTGTATGCAGGTACATGTACGCACTGAGGTCTGAAAGGGGTGTTTAATCCCTCTGAGCTAGAGTTACAGACAGCTGTGGGATGCCACGCTTGCTATGTAGGTGCTGGGATCTGAACCTGGATCTTCAGGATGCACAGCCTCTGAGCCATCTCTGTATCCTCTCTCCCACCTTACTGAACCGCACTCACTCTTCCCAAGATGATGCAGTGCTTATAGAAGGAGACGAAGTGAGGGGAATTGCAGGCATTGGATGTGAGGGAGGGAGAGGAATCAGGATTTTATCATGCAAGTCCCAATCACTATATCTTAAATTTGTGAATTAGTTCAGACTTTGTTCATCTAATATTTTCAGACTATGATTGACTACAGGCAACTGAAACCAAGCAAATAAAAACCACTGAAAAGGAGTGACTAATGTCTCAGCCATCCTCAAACAATGGGAGTTGGGCTAGGGATAATCGGGATCACAGAACACAAGGTTGAAAACAGGGAATCCAGAAACAAAAGCTAGTTAAAGTAGCAACGTAACATGTAAGCAGGGGTTCTCCATGACTCAGTGTTCCCAGGGGCCCACAGGAAGGGCAGAGGAAAATGACGAGCTGATCTTGGATGGCCTTTCTCATCCCACTGGGTCTTTGGAACCAGAAGCAGCCTTGGCCCGGGGAACCCAACGTGGCACTTCTCCGCAGCCCCAGTGTGGTTTTCCTATTGAATCTGCCTATTTTGGGTAACTCGTGGAAGGGATCCTAACGGCCAGGGAAGACTCAGCCTGCAACATCAGCTCCAGTCCTAGATGTCAGACTCCTTTCTTTCTCCCAATCCCCTTTCACCAGACCCCACTCTCCTGTTCACTCTGTATCTAGAAGTGCAAAGAAACCTGTAAAGAGGGCAGGCAGCCTGTCACACGGGAAGCAAGAGTCACTGCAGCAAAGATTTTGCTTGCTGAGTTGTCTTGGTGGTTTCCGGATGCTTCCGCTACCCACCAATCTCCTGACGGAGACGCCAAGAGACTCCTCCAGTCTCCCAGAGTGGAAAACTACTAGCATCAGCTGCAGTGGGCCCAGCTGAGAACTCTGTCCATCCCAAGCTCCAGTCAGGGTTGGCAGGCAGACTGAGGAGAAGCAGCTGCCACTAGGCCCCAGCTTCCCAAGAATTACTTTTCATACTCTTCCTGCCAAGGCCGTAAGCCTGAAAGTGTTGCTTGTTCCAAGATATTTACCACCCCATGGCCAGCTCCAGCCCGTGGGCTCCTCATCAATGAGTATCCTATATGCAGCTTCCAGGAAAACACACAGCACACGAAAGGCCTGAGCACAGAGGTATGACCCCTGGCTCTCTCTTGACAGAGAGAGTTTATCAGGTTCTGGAGTGAGGCAAACTAGTCTATGGTGTAATGAAATATCAATAACTGAAAAACTTTAGAGCCAGGAAGGAGTCTTAACTTACTGAACCCTAGAACTCTATATTTGATATCAG